GATTTGAGACGGTATCAGTGTAACAAACAAAACACTAAAATCTAAACAAACACAATCATAAGAGTTTCCACACAAAAACGTTGTAAGTGGCTCCCTCTTCTGACAAAAAGTTACAGTACACATACAAAAAAAAAATCTCATAAAATGAAGTTTCCTTCAGTTCCCACAGAAATATATTAAATAAATCTCTTGAATCAGAAGCATCTAAAAAATCTGAAATGAGTGTTCCTCAGAACACCACTGGTTTCTTATCACAGGTTCACAAGTCTCTCATAACTGTTCACAGCTGTTTGTCCAACTTCACATCTGGGGCTGTATTCACAAACATCACCTCAGAAAGATTTCTCGTAAGGGGTCGTGGAAACACAGAACTGCGTCGGATGGTTGTGTGACGTACTCTTTAAAAATGGTCTGACTGACTGAGATGCATAAAATATATAAAACCATAAAGTTTAGTCTCCTTTAAGATGTGACGTGATTATGAATAGGCTGTTTTAACTAAAAAGTAATTAGGAATAGCCAATATAAAGTGGCCTAAAAGCAGTACTAAATGTTGTCATTTTTAAAACAGGCCTACACGTACAGTAGCCTCTTCATTTTAATACTTGAAACAATACAATCTATTTGAAAGAACCAAACAGCTATGAAATAAAAGAACCAGAACCTGATTGGATGATTGGATCATGGACTGTTTTTAAGTTCAGAGGTTTCTGAGCTTGTGTGTCGGCAGGACATCGATACTGTGGCTCGTGCTACTGCACACGCTCTGGTTCCAAATGATGGATAAAGGACACGATGGCAGCATCAGTATCTGGAATCTTTTGTATTCATTTTAGTACAGAAATGTGAAAGTGGTGGTCGTCCCTCTCCATTAAAGTCTATTGACTTGACAGATGACAAGTAACTGTTAGCTCAATAAGTTGACAAGTGCGTAACCATTGAAATGCCTCTGCTGCAGTGCAGGCGAAGACGCAGGCGCGGGAAAATACATGTGGTTTGTGTTGTAGTTTAAGAGCAAATACATAAATCCTTCAAAGACATTATTGTTTTCTTTGAATTCCATCAGTAGTAACTCTGTGTGCATGAAAGCTTTATGAATACAGCCCTGTGAGTCAGTTGGCTTGAAGGCTGTTTGTATATGCAAATACATGCAGTACACCCATGCCAGTGTGACATCTAGGGCAGTGGACTAAGTGGGTAAAGTGCAAGTACCTATTGGAGCTCGAATAAGTGACGCGGATCAGTCTGTGACGCTCGGGTTTGACTGGTTTACTCAAACAGGGGTTCCTCATCGTCGTCAACCTGCAGCCTCTGGAACGGTTGGGAGCGGGACCGACGGTGGTTTCTCCGCCACCTGAAAAATACTGGAGAGACAAGTCTTGTTAGTCTGTTGATCAGTTGACGATATTCAGTACATTCTTCTACAGTTAAAATGAAGAAACAAATAACCCGAAGCAACCTTATTAATTTTATACAGCATGACAAAGGTCGCTGGACACAAAAGGAACTAGTAACTTGCTCTCCTCTCTGGTTTGCATTATGCAATGATAGAAGAAATATTAATATAGTGTTGCCATCCTTTGGGCTTACGAGTGATTGTGGCGAGGACCAGTAAGATGCCCAGCACCAGGCTGATAATCAGGGAAAGGTCCTCGCAGGTCTCAGCTGCCAGCAGGCACCGAGCCTGTGTCAGGCTGCCATTGTTGGGCTGCGGGGGCACCGACAGCAGATGGCACATGAGAGGGTAAATATCCACGCTGTTTAAATTGCCCATTCGATAACCTTCACGGAAGCTGGGCCCCGCCGCTGCCATGAAGGGGTGCATGCTGGGTAGGGAGTTGTCATAGCCGTGATCGCCCACTGAGGGAGAGAAGAAGAGGAAGAGTTAGTGGGTGGTGGTACTGTCTCTTTAAATGTATATTTGTTTATTAGTAATAATAAGACTTTTATTTAAATCCATTTTAGTACCTGAAGTGCTTTACTACAAAAACTGGCAAGACAGAAACTTCTAACTTATAAAATTAAAGAAAAATACATTTTCCAGGAAGACTAAAATCAACTTTTTGAGGTGATGAGAGACAAGTTGTCCAACTAGATCTGCAGACACACAATGTATTTGTTTCCCGATCAACTAAAAACTGTAGAATTGTAGAATATCGTATATCCCATTAACATCAACCTGTAATCTTTCAGCCAAACATCCCCTGAGGTGTTCAGGGGATTAAAACACTGGCTACATTTACATATTTGACAACGGTCACACATCACATGTAAACAAATGTCTGATGATCAACGAGTGCAGCTGTAATGACATAAACTGAGAGACCTACATCTCGACAGCGTGTTCCCTCGCTGCACTATGGTCCAGCCTTCATCAGCAACCAGTATGATTGGCTGGATATATTTGTTGTTCTGGTAGTGCAGCCTATCAGGGATGTCCGTCTTCAGATATGCTGTCATGTGGGTGTGGCACTTACTCAGCTGAGTGAAGGCTGCCTTCGGATCTGCACAGCAATAAACGTTTCTGTGAAGACTTCATGATGAAACATGTTTTTGTGATGTGTTTGTTTGCAAGCTAGTTTGTGTCGAGCTAGCTGATGTAAACCTGGTTACCTTTATGTGGGATGAGGGCTGCGACGGGCGAGCTGTCCACCAGCATGTAGTCGTCAGGGTTGATGCAGTCGTCCAGCCGTATGATGCGCTCGGTCGACAGCTGAGTCATTCCGTGGTCACTGGTTACTATGACGTTGATGCGACCCCAAAGGCCAGACGACTTCAGCCTCGACACGAGCAGGCCGATGTTGTCGTCAACCTGGTCAGATGAAACCGGAGGAGGAGTTCGGCTCAAATGTAATTATCCATCAAATGTGATAAGCCACGCTTACTGAATTTCACTATTCCATTTTCACTGAAACTTCATCCTCTAATGAGTTATTTGCTGGACTGATAAAATATCATGGACGAAAATTCTGCTGCTGCTGTTGCAAGGGATGTGAGTAAACTCACCAAAGACACTTTGTCCAGGTTCACAACCATGTTTCTTCTTCTATTTTTTTAATAATGATGATAATAAAACTAATACTGCAGGCATTAACCAGAGCAAAGACAGAGGACAAATTCAAAGTGAAACTGAACATGCATCTCAAACTGATAACACAGCAGGCGAAGTGATTGTTTCAACTATTTACTTTTTTCACAATAAAAAGGGTTTGAATCCTTTTATGAAATGAAGCCACAGAGGTAGCGGTTTAATTAGTAACCAGCCAGGGCCTTTATAACTGAGAAAAATGGAATAAAGCTGAAATTAATATTGTTGCGTCACCTTTATTTGTTTTTCTGCTCAAAAGTTAAGCTGCTGTTGTAAATAATTGCACAGGCGTTACTTTCCGTTATCAGTAAACTGGTAACTTGTGAAAAGAGCCTCACCTCCAACTCCAACAGTCAGCAAACAAACTGTGTAAACAATAGAGCTGCGAGTACAACAAGGAATGTTTTGAGTGAGGATCAAGGTGAATTTAGAAATGTTATCAGATGACTCTACCTCTTTTAGCACTTTGCTCATGGCAGCTGTGTTTTCTGGGCCGTATTTGTGGCCCGACTTGTCCGGCTCCTCCCAGTAGAGAGCTGCAAACTTCACTCCCGGCTCCTGGAGGAAGAGATATGACCCAAAATGTCAGATAATAGCTGCTGCTGCTGCTGTTACGGTCTCAAAGAAACTGATGAGCAAACCAATAGAAGTTAAAATACAGAGTAATGACTCTTTAACTAAAACGTTATATGTTACACAAAGCTCGTTTACCTTTCCATTTCCCACCAGCCACTTTGTCACGTTCCCCACCCGCTGCAGGAACGTCACGTTAGAGTCATAGAGCAAGAAGTGTGACGCTGTGCGGTTGCTGATGACCACGTCTGAGCCAGGCCACATCATGGCCGCCGTCTTGTAGCCGTAGTCCAGCGCCGTGATCCACAGGGGCTGCGCTTTGCTCCACCACATCGGGTCCTTGTCTTGGCTGGCGTGGAAGTGCTTGTGGCTGACGGGGTCGTACATGTTACTGGAGAGGATACCGTGAGACTCAGCGTACAGCCCCGTCACCTGGAAACCAACAATATACACTACGTAGTTAGTCATGATATTAAGAAATCATCGTTATGCAAATATACTATGATTTGTGTTCCTTTCTATGACTTTTCAATGGGACTAAATTGGTCCAGTTTTTTTAAAATGTTGTTGGACTGCGGCAGTTTACAACGTTGCCATGTTTCCATATTTACTTACTACCTGATTCACTAATCTGTTTACTTTGTTAAAAAAATAGCTGCAAGCACCACGGTTACCAGAGTGTAGTGGTTGGGAAAAGTCTTGGTGATGAAGACGTTGGTGAGCTGCTCCACCAGGACCCCCTGGCTGTACAGGAGCTTCAGGTTCGGCATGGGGAACCTCTGCAGGTAGTCCGCCCGGAAACCGTCGAACGACACCATCAGCAATGGCAGAGGGCCCTGCTGAGCCTCGTCGTCACCTGCGACTGAAGCTGTGATGCCACACAGGAGGCCCAGTAGCACTTTAAGTAACATCCTGAAAAGATGTAAACAAACAATTAGAATCTAGAGTCATGTCAGCAGCTGTGTGGGTGCAGACCGAAAAAAAAAAAGGTTTGAGTCATTCTACAAAAACGAAGAACAGACTTATGGTTAGACAACATTCACACATTAGCGAAATATGCAGAAAGAAAGTGAGAATAGTTTTTCTGTCAAATAATTCTTGGTACTTCCTTTATCTCTTAGGGAAGTGAGACTTACTTCATACTGCACCTGCTGGCAACATAAAGAGATTTCAGACCAATCTTGTACTAAAACTGAGCGAGCAATAGCTTAAGTAGTTGTGCACGTGTACAGATGTGAGTTAAGAAACTGGACTTGTCTCATCCAGGAGGCTTCTTCAGTTCTGAGTGGTTGGAGGTTTTCAGGTATTTACACAATAGCAGGTGGGGATATGACTTAAAGGTATCAACATCCACTTGCTGGAGGGGTTGTCCACCACCTGTCTGGTTAACATAGTGACTCTCACATGTTGAATTGCTGAAACCTCTCATGAGTCAGTTAGAACTGAAGGAGACTTTTCAAAACACTAGCAAGTCCAGATGCCCGAATACATTTGTACAAGTCCTGAAGATACCATGACCTGGATGATCGAGAATCTTCCCAGATATAGTACGAGTGATGAATGAATATCGTGCCTCGAGTCTTGTTTGCCTCATATCTGTCGTAGTGTCGCCAAAGTGCTCTGTGTGGCCAGAGGCAAAAAATATTAATCCTACAATGACGTGGTACAGAAGAAGTGGAGGAACTGGTTTCATTGTGACGTCCACTGGGTGGAGGTGAGGTAAATAAATTCCTTCATCCTGTCTCTCTTACGGGTGCTGGATTTACTTGATTTCTTTCACATCAACATCCTGTTTAATATACAACCAATCAAAAGACATATCTACAATATTTAGATGAGAAATGGTGAATATACTGTGTTTATATTGCACTTGTCTAATCTTATCGACCATTTAAAAAGTTTACAATACTTTCACCTTCACACATTCATCGAGGGCTTCGATATGTTCTTGTTAGTTGGCGACCCTCTCTACCTCCTGAGCCACAACTGCACACAATATATGAACTATGAACGCAAGGGGATTTACACATCTGGGAAGCCCCTAAAATTGCCACTAGAAGCTGTTACATTTTTTACTATTTTAATATTGATATTAAATCAATAAGTTTCTCATTGATATGCCAATTACTGTTTTAAAATCAGTGCTATTTTTGTAGGTTCCAACTTAGTTCTTTGAGCATTAAATTACACAACACTTGTGTTTCCAAACCTGAGCCACAGAGAGAAGCAAAAACTGCCAACCAATGTTTCCTGTCATAGCTGGGTCCTATGTATTCAAGCTTGGTTTGAAATAAATATTTTCATTAAAAATCATATTAAAAAAGATAAAATATGACTTTTTGTCTGCAAAGTGTTTATTTTACACAACAACTGGGCTTGTACTATAATCCCCACATACTCTCTTCCTGTTCAGCTCCTGTTTAATATCATTTTCTTATTTGCTTTCAGAATTAAATCACCAGCTGTGATCTCAGAGAGCCAGGCAACTGTAGGAAATCTCAAGAAATTAGATTAGATAATTGGACATGACTGGAATACAGAGATGTCGAACGTCTCTTATTTGATTACATTCATTCGCCTATAAGACCTAAGTCTGTCACTGCTGCCTTACAAACGTAAAATCTAATTACTGAAGTGCTGCAAACTGAGGAGGAAATATATTGAATAAGAAAACAAAAACGTGTATTAACTTGTGTTCATCTCTAGGTTTAGAAGCATTTGTGTTTTTCATAGAATCACATGTATCCAGAAGTCAATTGTACATTTTTACTCTTTTTTAGTGTTTCCCTCAATTTACAAATATTAATATTAACATCTCAGTTTGGAAGTATTTATATTAAGTCATGTATCCAGAAGTAAATTTGACATTTTAACAATCTGTCTCATGCATATCGATGAAGTGAAATGATTTAAAACATGTGTGATCCCAAACACACACAAACACACACACGTGAACAAATCAGGAAGTGACACCTGAAAATGAAGCGGACAGGTGGAAAAGCAACACGAGTACACACCAGCTTTTAAACAATGAATAAATAAGAGTGACTCATAATAATACAACCATATTGAAAACACATCCCACACCAACAATGTGTGACATGAAATTAGCGATAACAAAGTTTATCAGTTTCCTTATGAGTGAAGCAGCTACTTTAGCCTCTGTTAGCTCGCTAATGTCCCAGCTAATGTTGTTCCGGGAGTCACAGCGGTGCTACGGCGGTGGTGTTCGGTGGGACACGGTTACCTGTCGGTGGGGCAGACGGTAGATTTCCTCCTCCTCGCCGGGCCGATGGTAAAACTTCTGTCACAACAGCATCATGAATGAACTTCCTTAAAAAAGACATGCGACACACTAGCATCGAGCTAGCTAGCATTATTCCATACACATCCGGTTGGGCATTTCAAAATAAAGCCCTCTTTGGAACTCGTCTTACTATATTTCAACATTACCGCCATTTTTTAGTCTAAATTCTCACATGAATACCAACTAAACTGTTCACGCATGATTTGTATAGAATTTTATATCTTCATAAATGTTTTACGAATGACTTCTAAAAATACACTGCTTTTATTTTTAACTAAAACCTGTGTGTCTTTTTCCTTGTTAACGCAAACTTGACGTCACCCTCCGCTGGGGGTGTAACTGGATTGACAGGTCAAGCAGCAACGGTGGTTTCTGTGACAAACAGGATGTGGAGGAATGAAAAGTTCCACTAACTCCTGTAATTCAGTTGAAAACGACCAAATATTTAACTTTACAAGAGCTGACAGTTCTATCTCATAAAACATTTAAATAACTCGGGGTTGCGTTCTTAGAGGGAAGTGAAATCACTGCAAAAATATGCCAACTATGACAAATTAAATGAGTGTAAATTAGAAATGCATGACCGAGACAATGCCTGTCAGCGTCGGAGCACTGCAGGAACGAGTCCTTAAACCTCGTGTCGTGTCAAAAAGGGATCTTCCTCCAGAAAGTGATGGTCGGTCTGTGGAAAACTGACTTAAATATATTAAACCTGTGAAAAAGAATTAGATTTGATTGAGATAAAATAATGAAGTCATAAGGATACCTTCCAAGGTGTACTTGCTATATTTTTAAGTCTAAACCTTTTTCAAATCATGTTAATAACACTGTAGGTGAAACAAGTCGTGTGCGTTATTACGGCTCTAAACTGCAAACATGTCTTTGGCCACAAATGTGATTATTCGATGACAAGTAACGCTAACATTTTTACCAGAGACATGAAGGTAACTATACGTGCAAGCGATGATCCAAATGAAAGCAGCTGTAGACACAAGAGGCTGCACAATTGCTTTTTGGTTGTAAGTGTTGCTTTAAGGCAACAATAGTAAGTTTTCATACTTAATTGAAATAAATAAAAAACAGTTGTTTATTGAGCTCAAAGTGGATTTTATCCGATTGTATTCTCAGTTGGTTGTGTTCTCCTTTAAGGATCACCTCCTGCCATCCCTGTCCAAAGTCCTGGGGGGCTCTTTGATAAGATTGGCACCGTTGGAATTGCACTCACTCTGCTTCACACCTTGACATTCTCCACCACCACCAGGACGACCTCCGTTTGACTCTTTCGCCCAGGATGGATCACTGTGAGGAGAACGAGTACGAGGCCCCAGAGTTTTACCAGAACCAGTCATCGGCTATATACGAAATGAGCGCCGAGGAGGAGGCCTACGAGGGGCCCTCAGCAGAGTACGAGAACACCGGACGGGCCATTGGGAGGATACCAGCTCCCCCTTCTGTCCCTCCACCTCGCCATCCCACAGAGGAGAGGCGAGGCAGCTCCTCTTCCTCATCTTCATCCTCCTTGTCCTCTTCACAAGGTAAAGATAGAGAGAAGGGGGAGATGAAGGCCTCTGACAGGGAGGAGGAGGAGAAAGAAGAAGAGAAGATTCAGGGGAGTCCCAGCAATAAGGCGGTCACTTGGGAGAGTCAGGAGATGGATGTGGATGGGAGAAACTCATCACGCAGGTCATCATCCTCATCATCATCTTCATCGGAGTCTAAGAAGGAACCTGAGGAGAAGCCAGAGAAGGAGAGGGAAGATCTGAATATCATACTTTTTACGAAGGTATACATTAAGAATGGAATTATTATATGTGGAGATTCTGAATTGACGTTTCTGACATTTTAAGATACAAATGTGTAGATATACTTTACACAAGGACACACACACACACACACACACACACACAGTCTTCATGTTCTAACAGGGGCCTAAATAATTACAGCTGTAATCATTTTCATATCAGTTGCTAATGAACTCGTGTGCAAGGTCCACTGAGTGTCCCTCTTACTGTGTGTGTGTATGTGTGTGTACACGTAAAATTTTATTGTGGAACATCAAGGTGAGTTGAACTTTATTCCCAATTGTTTGGGCCCTTTACACACACACACACACACACACACACACACACACACACACACACACACACACACACACACACACTCACACACTTTTTATAGATGTGTGTGTGTGTGTGTGTGTGTTGGAGGGGGTTACTCTGCTTCTAAATATAAGTTAAGTTGAACTGACAAGAATGTTCTGACTCAGTGCTGGGATAGTTTCTGTGGCATGGCCATGTTAATTCACGTGTGTGTGTGTGTGTGTTGGTTGATTTCCTGGAAAATCTCTTTAGTAACAAGAGCTAAAAACTGTACTTACACACACACACACAGACTGAATTCATTTCATAATCTGCACATCCCCCATTAAAGTTAATTTGCGCTGTAGTATACAGGGATCATAAATCTGGCACTTTGAAACCACATAAACGAAAGCAATATAACCTCAAGGTCCACAGTTGGCAGCACCGCAGCCTCTGCACACCAACTCTGTTCGAGGAGACTTTTAATAGTTTCGACAACAGTGGAGCTCTGAGAGAAATAAAATACAGTATATCAGGCTTTGGATACACATAAATCCTGTCTTTTCACAACAATAATATAAATATCAAATCTTCTCTGAGTGTTTAAATTCTGCCCGTGCCCTGACTTAGACTTTCCTCTGGTGAGTCCGAGCAGGAGACAATGACTCCTGATGATTCAGAGTCACCAGTTCAGAGCTATAAGAGTCGGTGGATGCAGAGGTGCACCCTTGGCTGACTCTGCCTGCCCTGTCCCTCCTCTCCAAGGGGGTTATTTTTGACCGACACTGTCCCGCCCCACTGCAACACACACACACACACACACACACACACACACACACTAACACACACACCCTGGCATTCGTCCTCTCTGAAGCTCCTACAGAGGTGCTATGGGACTAAGCAGACTTCACCAACTGGACCTGGAGTAGAATCTGAAACTGAGCGACTCTCTCTCTCTCTCTCTCTCTTTCTCCCTGTCTCTCTCTCTCTCACACACACACACACACACACACACACACAATCTACATATCTACACATTTGTGGAAACAAAACACCCAAAGTGCGTCTCTCTTGATCATGACGGATACGGCAGCTGAGGAGGACAAGGACCCCGATATTGAGCTATTTGTAAAGGTGGGACTTTTAATGTGTGTTTATGTGTGCTGTCACATAAACAGTTGTCTTCTTGCTTCTGATTTATATATTGATCCAACATTTACATCTCCATTCTGCCTTTAATAGCACAATTTCAGCTGCATTTGCACAGTATGTTATCTCCAAATGAATCAGCTGTGTGTGTATTTATATGTTGTGGGTGGCTCCTTTAAGCGTGTGCATGCCATGTTGTTGTTGTTGTGTGCTGATTTTCCGTGTGTTAACCTGATCCCCACGTGCATGGACAATCTCTCCCACTGAATTATTACTGGGATCCATTCAGTGTTGAGAGCAACAGGTTATGACGCGAGTCGCTCAGTGTGTGAACATGATGCTCTCTTGTAGCCACTATTTTAATATATATTATGAATAAGATCGTTACCATTCTCATACATCATGATTGACAGCTGAGACTGACTCACGGTTGGTCGAGCGTGAGTATCAACGGGACCTCATCTTGTCTTCAGGACATTTTGGCTTAATTTCTGGACAGTTTGAGGAAGTGGATCCGTATCTAACTATTCTTTCTAAATGTCTTAATAGCTGGATTAACTTTTGTAGTGAGAGTACTACTGTCAGTGATGCAATGTTATGGCAGGGGAGAAAGTTGTATGGTTTCTGTCGCTGACACACTGCGTCAGTAGGAAAACCACATTCTCAAATGGGCGGTGAGGCGGCTAATGGAGGCAGCGTGGATTATTCATGTTGGATTTGGTGTCACATTACAGTGTCCCATTACAGTTTAGCACACACACACTCATTCATCACCTCAGATCCAATGATTCTTACATATAGTCATTGATCTGGAAACACGTTGTGTTTTGTCCTCAGCTCTAAACCATGTTCTTTAACGTGTGTGTTCACAGGCTGGCCAGGATGGGGAGAGCATTGGAAACTGTCCATTCTCTCAGCGCCTCTTCATGATCCTCTGGCTGAAAGGAGTCGTTTTTAATGTCACCACTGTTGACCTCAAGAGGTACTATCAATAATAATAATAATTATTATTATAATAGTATTAAAATGCTCCTTCTCCGAGTGCTGCTTTTAGAAATACGCACAAGTTTAATGAACAATCTCTTGATAAGGAAACCAGCCGACCTCCACAACCTGGCCCCGGGGACGCACCCACCCTTCCTCACCTTTCAGGGAGAGGTTCTCACAGACGTCAACAAAATAGAGGAGTACCTGGAGGCCATGCTGGTGCCACCGAAGTAGGTGTCACTCACCAGCACGTGACAATCGGGGGGGGGAAGTAGCAACATCTGACAACTAATATGCTTTTTCTTAGGTATCCTAAACTCGCAGCAAAGAACCGTGAGTCCAACACGGCAGGAAACGACGTGTTCGCCAGGTTCTCAGCTTATGTGAAAAACACCAGGCCAGATAAACACAGGGGTAAGAACACTGCTATGATCTACGATCCAATCAAAAGGACTGGTGACTGACTTTGATGACCTTTGACCTGGACATGTGTTTCTGTCTGCTTCAGATTTAGAGAAGAGTCTGAACAAGGCCTTGGAGAAGCTGGACAACTATCTGATGAGTCCACTTCCTGATGAGGATGAGACGAAACACCACAGCAGCAAAGGGGAATCTACTCGCAAATATGTGGACGGGGAGGAGCTGACGCTGGCGGACTGCAACCTTTTGCCCAAGCTCCATGTCGTCAAGGTAACCGGCGTTGGATTGGTTCAGTTTCTCTGATCTCAAAAGAGAATTATTTAACTGAATAGTATTTTTTTTCCGCAGGTGGTTGCAAAAAAGTACCGAAACTATGACATCCCGTCGGATTTCAGAGGGGTGTGGCGCTACCTCGGCAACGCCTACAGCCGAGATGAGTTCACCAACACGTGCGCTGCCGATGTGGAAATTGAGCTAGCCTACAAGGACGTGGCCAAGAGGCTGGAGAAGTGAACCCATCGCAGTCACACTCACTCTTTTACTTTTTCTCAAACTAAAATCATACTTGTGATAAACAGGATGTGTAATTTTTAACGCTGATGCTGTAATAAGCTTAAAGTGGTGTGAGTCAGTCTGACATTATAACCTCCGAACAGTGATTGCAATAATTTTCAGTCACTTTAGAACTACATACGTCTGGTTAGAGTTAATTAGCTGATTACGCAGGATGCATAAAACAGGGTTTGACTATTTTCTGTCCTATTTTTCTGCTAAGAATTTTTTTCCAGCCAAAGCGATGTCTCGCCGTCTTCCTTTTCTTAATCTCTGACATTAAATTGCACTTTTTTTTTCATCTGCTGTAACCGGCACAGTGGTACAGTGGGTCGCCTCACTGCTAGAAGGATACCTGTGTGAATCTCAGACTCTATCTCATGGTATAGGTGTGACCTATGAGTGTAACCCTCATCCTAAGCAGTTTTTGTAATTGTAAAGTGAGGTTTCATTATTTTACTTGTTAAAATGTACTAACGAGAATGTTTTCCAGCCCAAGTCATTTGTCTTTTATTGGTGTGGTGTCAACTTTGTGGACTTTGGTCTTTGTCTTCATGAAGCAATGACTCACCTATTAAATTGTATGTTTTTTCATCTGCTTTAACCACGTCATCCCTTTTACTTTCCATTTTACCTTCAACAGCCCATTCGAATATAATATCTACTTTCAGATTAAATTTCAAATTCAATCTGATAAACGAACCTAGAATGAAAAAGAAAAGTTTCACCCCAGCAGTTGTGTTGACGTGTTATTTTAGTGCTGATGGAAGCAAATGTAATTTTAATGACAAGTGCCTCAGTGGGCATCTCCTCTGCCTTCAGCTCTTTATGTCTGTACAGTAAATTATATATATTTGAATATAATATAAATGGGAATTATGGATGTCGTCTGCTTTATGAATCTGTGTGATAATAATAAATATGTCTGTAAATGATTATTATAGCGCAACAATATTCCTTCTGATGATTAGAACCGCAAACCCCACTGTGTATATGTCACTTGTTTGAATAATAAATCTATTTTCTCAGAGACTGAGCTGCAGAGCTGTTGTTTTTCACTCCAAACTCGTCTCGTTGATTCATGATTTATGTGCGTGCCCGTACAAATGGATGGATATCGACAGCAGCTCTCCCTGCACATCGAGTTGTTGACGTGTTTGCTCAGTGCAAATGTTCTTAGAGAAAAATGATCAGCAAAAGAAATTGTGGAAACTTTCTTGCTGAATCGAAATGTATATACACATGTATCCTGCTCATACTACAAAATGAGAGATCACAGATGCAGGGGCCTGAACTCCTCCTCATCCTCTTTCCCTCCCTTGCCTCTATTTCCTGTGATGGATGAGTTGAAAGTTTATCGCATTTATTTATCATATGTGGTATAAATATAAATATCTTAACTTAGAGTCCTATTTGCAGATTTGCAGCTGAGTGAGAAGATGCACATCTAGGGGATATACGTCCAACATGGACTATATAAGAGAAAATGACTCATGTCACTAAATAATTGGGGAATACTCCAATTATTACCCTTTAAACAGGGTCTTTTTTTATAATTTCCATTAATGTACATAAGGGTATTAGGCCCTTTACTTGGTGTATGCTGCAGCGTCTGACAGTCAGCAGATGGCAGTAAACACAAAGGTTTTATTGATGTGTAATAACAGGAGCATGGACTGAGGGATCATCTCTTTTCTGTATGTGAAGTTCTATAGGCTCTGTGATCAAATATTAATGCAAGATTCAGGTAAATAAATAAATAAATAAAGTGATGTGTAAAGATTGAGGTATATAGGTTTAAATATAAACTATTCTCAGGCAAACAGAAAGCATGAATTGAATTGTTGCAAGCTGTGTCATAATTCATTATATTTTATATGGTTTGTTTGAAGTCTCTTCTATATTTAACACATTCTTTTTTTATGAAAAGTTAAAAAAGGTAAACATGCAGTGGGGGAAATTGTTTAAAGTATTAATTTGATTCAAGTAGATTATACATGCTATATAGTCACATTACATAACAGATTTAATTCAATATTAACAGAGTTTTACACAAAGTAGAGCTAATGTCAAATGTTATAAACTCGTCATATGTTTTGATGTTTAAAAGCTTAATTAAAGTTAAAGTTAGGGAGTGTAAAAACGCAGAGGGGTAAAAACGTGAAAAGTTAATTTAATAAAATAGCAGTATAGTATCACATTAAACAACAGATAATTAAATGCAATATCAGCAGTATTTAAGTCGAACTGATATTAATTGTTGTAAACTCGTCGTATGTTTTCATATGCAAAAGCTTAATTCAAGTTAAAGCGAAGCATCGTAAAAACGGGGGGTCGAAAGTAAACGGCGTCTCTCTGCTTTGCATGGCAGTAAAAAAGTATCAGTACTATAGTAAATATGTGTAGTATTTGTAGTACTTGTACTGTAACTGTACCAGTCACCTCCTCCCATTGAGTGTCCTTGTGCGCTGTGTGCGGGGCGGGAACACGCACACGCTCCCTAAGCTCCGGTGGGCAGAACACAGGCTCGTGCTCAGGACGGAGTCTCGTCTCCTCCGCAGTCTGCTCCGCGCGCCTCCGCAGCCCCTTCCCCGGGATTCTAACTCTTATCCCCGCTGTGGAGCCTCGCCGAGAGCCGCCGGCACACGCCGCTAAAGACGAGGTAAGCCCCGCAGCTGTGCGGGAGAAACGCCGCCGCTGGAGGAGGAGGAGGAGGAGGAGGAGGTTCAGCCCCGTGTGTGTGTGTGTGTCTCGGGGAGTGGGCGACTTGTCATTGCGGCGGTAGGTGCGTGTGTTGTCGGTGGAGCGAGCTCCGGAGCTCGCGGAGGAAAGCTAACGTGGCTAATGCAGGGCTATAAAAGAGTAATAACAGGACCGGGGATGCTAACGCTAGCTGGCTCTTTCCCAGCCAGTCAAGGGGGGACGGGGACGGGGACGTGAAGAGCCGCAGCGAACAGGGGGTCCTATTGTTACCACAGGGCAGGTTTAGCTAGCTTACAAAACAAGTGACACTTGTATTATGATGCTAATGTAGCATCCATGTGAGTCCAACATGATCACTAAAGTGCATGTTTACATTAGCTCTCCTCTATATGATGTAGCTTCCCTTTAGCTGTTTGTGCTATTGTATACGTTCCACACATCCGCTGGTTAAAGATGGTTAATAACCCCAGCTGCATTCGTCGGTGTGTCACTGACAGGCGACCTTCCTCGTCTTCAACCCGGACTGACATGCACTTAACTCGGGGTTTTCCAGCAGCTTTATAACGAGGTGAACCAGTCGCCAGCTTGTTATAACGGAGGAGACGTGTTTTAGCCTCCAGAGGTGATGCTGCGTTTTGTTGACACGGGCTCTGGAAGCTGATCGTGTTGATTTAAAACCCCCGCAGGCTCTTCTTTGGAAGTCCTTAGCTATTTTATTGTGGGTTGTTATAGATGTATGACAGAAACATGGTGTCCAAATGATCTGCTCAGTCACTGTCCTCCAGGATCGCGTGGGGAAAACGAAATTTAAGATCATGCACAAGGACATGACATTCGGAGGGATCTATCACAACCACAAGAAAAAAACACACGTGTTTAGCAAGTGTTTCATTTTTTCACACCAGCCTTCACCCTTTGAAACTAATAAAAACAGTAACCAGAAAGGAGATAATTCAATCAAAGCTATTCAATCAAAAGTAAAAGCTTGATAAAAAGCAATAGGTTCATGGTTTGATCAAGAATTTGACCTGCGTCGGTACCTCCATTGTTCTTGGTCAGGTCCAACATTATTAAATTTAAATTAAGTGGATGTTTAGTTTGTTCAGTGTGCTGCTTCCTCCTTTAATAAAGAGGTCAAGTTTTCGTTTTATGCCGATGACCTTGTTCTGCTATCTCTCTCGGAACAGCAACAGCTGGACGTAATAGAAAATACTACCAGCCCCGTGCTCTGGCAGTGAATATGAAGAAAAGCAGTATCACGACTTTTCAGATGCCAGGAAAACAGATAGCAGTAATGAAATCATTGAACACGGCATGAGCTGTACGTCGTGTAGTAACCATAAGAATATCTGAAATTCATTTCAACATGGCATCGAGTGATCTAACATTCTGTAGATACATTTTACATGTACAAAGAAAAACAGCAACAGACGCCTGTCAAGCTATATTAAGCACATATCTGCTGCGGAGTCAAACTTTCTAAATAGAGCGCCTAAACTTTTTAAGCACCTTCACTCCAGCACCCCCCCAAAGAGCCCAGGAAAGACGAGCTGCAGAACATTTGGTCGCTGTTGAAACGTTTTTTGAAACCTACCAATAAAGCACGTTTTATTTTTGACCTGAATTATACAAAATCACATTTGTTATAAAATAGTCCAATGTTGACGATGAAAATAAAAGAGATGTCCTGACGCTTTACTTTTACGTTTGTTGGCACAAGAAGAGTTAAAGCAAAAAATGTGAAATGAGTCAGGATATTATTGGTTCACTGGAAAAGCACTTTAGTAATTTCCAGTCTGTGACATTAGTAGGGTCATATAATCAGGTTACGACATGCTGATGTGATTATATGAGATTTATCTTGTGTTATTATCACGCAGGCTTCAAATGTGATTGTTTGTACTTTCTTCAGGGATTATGTCAAAACGTCTTGTCTGTTAAGATCAGTGTCACATGGTTTTCACAGGTGTCCTCTGGTACATTAAAGTAAATCTTATCTTATTTAGTGTGACTCAGTGAAGAAAAATTATCTCCTTTATGGTTACTATCTCAACTGCGAGTGAATCTGAATGTAGTGACCATCTAGAGGTGAGCCGCCGACTGCCCCTGGCTTTATAAAGAGTTCTTTCAGTCGCCTTTTTGCCGGAGCCCTTGGGATTATAAATCCTGAGCAAAAGGAGCTTTGCTTCGGTGGCATGCTTCACTAGCAAGAAATCGTTGGAGTGTGTGTGTGTGAGAGGAGGGGGGGGGGGTTGTGCTGGTGGGCTCGGATGGCGAGCCAGCGCAGGCGTTGGAGGGATGAGGAAGGAGGGATTGAAGATGGAGGGGTCGAGGAGAACTGGGCTGTGGTGATGGATGCAATGCAGGGAAGTGGAACACGTGGCCTTCCTGTGATTAAAGGGCTCCTGTTCTCACAGCACACACACACACACACACACACACACACACACACACACACACACACACACACACACACACCTTTTCTTATTTGTGGAGTCGATCTGGTTACTGATCTCCGATGTCAGCGATCCCAAAGAGTGACATATTTTATGTTATTGATTGTCAGGGTCCGTACAAAGTATACATAAGGTCAGACTGATGTGTACAATCAGCTTTTTGGGGGGAACATTAGTCAGAAACACCACTCCACCCCTCCACACTGAAGAGCCTCTTTCCCATCATGCAGCACACATGATTCACCCTTACAGTCGGGCCACTGTTTGGAGCTCTGGAGCTGCAAAGCGCTCATTTATCCATGCTGTACATTCAGGCTGCAGAGAGAGAGACATGGTCATCGGCTGGGCAAGTCACAAAAAGCACAGTAAATCCTCTGGAGAAGCTGTTTTCACATCCAGGCCAATGCTTAAAAGCAAATGTAATTGTACTAATACGAAGAAGATTAGGGATTTTCAAAAGACATATATACAGCATATGTTGCGACAGAGTATCAGGGCCACTTTAAGGTCATAATAATACTAGAATAAAGCTGTAATATCATGAGAATAAAGTTTTAATTTTAGAGGGAGAATTTCAGAAGACCACTGAAAGCGTGTTTAGACTTTTTGCTCTCATTAAATTACAAAGTAATTCTCATAATATTGTCACTTCTTTCTCATTAAATTACAACTTAATCCTCTTAACATTATGTTTTTCTTCTCAATAACTACCTTATTCTCAAATTTGTTTTTTGGCACCAGGACCACATTATGTAAATGTCAACAGGATATTGTTTCCTTGTGAGCTGCTTCTCTCAACAACTTGTCAGACTAACTCTTGAATAACTGGAGTACTGGTTACAGAAACAACACTGGCATTAGCAGTGTGTATAAACCACTGTCGCTGTTAGTAACAATAGTCAAACAATAAGTGTTGCAGAAACAACTGTGTTTAAACTTTGAGCCGATGATGAACATTTTCCGTCTATTGTGGTCTGATTCACAGAAAGAATACGCAGGAGTTTGTGTTGTCATGTTATATTTCACAAAGATAAAAAAGGAGTGAGGACACTTTGCTACTCCAGACGCCTTTAAAGGGTTTTAGAGGATTTGGACTTGCATTAAGAGTTGAAGACCAGAATTAGGATTAGTCTAATATGAGGGAGAGTGTTATGAGTTCGACGTGTGGTGCAGAGGGTTGGGGATTTATATGTAGTCAGTGAAAGCTCTCACAGGCTTGGTGATATCGGAGGGAGCGTTTGCATCTTATTGCATAACAGTTCATCGCAATTGCATTTAATTTGTAGAATATCTGTGGTAGCTCGAAATATTTTTGCCTGATTTTGCATCAAGAGGATTTTGATTTTAGTGCTTTTATTTCATTCAGTGTTGCTCTGCATTTTGTGATGAGACCAATTTGTGTTATTATAACAACAAAGCTTGTATTGTTGACATTTATCCTGAGCATCTCATTTGCAGTTCTCACTCACACTTGTCGAACAGATTGGTCAGGGATCAGATTCTTCTCTGTCTGGTCTCATGGCACGTAGTGGCAGGTTTTACTAGTACTGGGCAATAAAACAAAAACTAGAGTTAATGCAACAATACATGTTTTCAATATTCAGTGTTAAAATTTAAATATATATCAATGTAATTCTTATTTCCAAATGAGACTTTAAAACTACAATAAACATATTTTTTTAGCTTTTACTTAGTAATTACAAGTCATGATTTGACATTTACAATTTTGACTGATATATTGACTTATATCAATTATAATGTTGACATAAAGGATCGTTTTTATCGTGACACCGACCAGTGCAAGTCTGAGGACAGTGTAATTTTTTTGGACTCGTAAATCACTCTACAGGTTGTTTTTATATGCGTATTTATGACAAAAGACACAAATTCATCGAAAGTTCTCTGCAATGCAAAGATCTCGAGTTTTATTTGTTGGTGCAACAGACAGAAGGAAGTCTCACTGAGAGAACCATGGGGGAGAGTGAGGGTCATTCATCAAACGTAAAGAGCAGATCCTGTGAAGTAAGTGTTGCAGTGTCGGTCATGTGCATCCACCAGAAATGATAGCTTCCCATTTTGTACAGTTTTAAGGACATCTTTGTTATCCTGTAAGATGTAGGCTTTGATAAAGAAGATAAACTGTCCTGTCCTTTGCCTTCTCTGTGGTTTTCCACATGGCTTCTTTCAAAAGAAAATCAAAGTTTGGTCATTTTTATGGCTCCAATTACAAACAAGGATTGGAGGATAATTAAAAAGGAGCAGTGCTTTCCATTACCTAGAGGAGAGAATTTCATCACACACATTGATTCACATGTTCTGATCTCAGATTTGTCATGGTGAAAAGTGGATGCAGCAGAAAACTACTTAATACACCTTCCCTCTGAGTAATTATGAGATTAGAGCCCTACATGATAGCAATTATCTTGTTTGACATTATGTTCAGGAACACAGAGAGGTGGTAGATAGGAATGCATTTAGATAACGGACGTTTGCAGCTCCATAT